AGAAATACAATGAAAAAAAAAATAAATTACAATAAATCTTATCTCAAGAAAAGTTGTAAGGTTTGAAAAATAGATCCTCCTAAAGATTAAGGTAAGATCCTCCTGTCTAAAGATTAAGATAATTAAGAATAAGATGAATTAATTTATAATATACCTTTATCTGCAATCTCTGTTTGTAGTGGTTTCATTGATATAGTCACTGTTTTAATAATCTCTCGCTGATCTTTTGTATCATTGAGTTTATCCTCAATTTTCGAAGCAATTTCTGATTGTTCAACATCTCTTTCACCATCAGCAATTGTTTCCTTTGCTTCAATTTTTCCTGTTTCTATTCTGTCTGTAATAAATGTCTTACCACGTTTAATTACATCGATCAATTTTTTTAATTGTCGATGTAAAAGTGACTTTCTCTGATTGTCCTCAATCGTTTTCATTTCTTTCGAAATATCTTGCTTCTCTTCTTTTTCTTGCGAGTTTTCCAATATTTTTTTTTCTTGTTGATTATTTTTATTTGATATCAAGTTTTGCGTAGGATTATTCGATTGTTGAAAGTGATTCCTCATTGATCGATTAAGCGATTGCATTCTTCGCTGATTAATATGAGATTTCGATGTTTTCTTTATACTGGAATTAGATACAAGATTCGAGCGATTATAAAACTGCGCGCGTGGTAATGTAGAATAAACATTTTTTGACAATGGTTTAGAGTCTTTAATTGATTCAATAGGAACACGAGGTACGTTTTTCGATCCATCATTCATCATTTTGTTTATTTGTTCATTAGTAAATTGTTGTCCCGTACAACAACTATTAGCAACATCATATTTATTATTTGGTTTTACCATCCTTTTATTGCCAGCATTTTTTTTCGGACTATTTAAGTTTGAGCTAGTTGTACTTTCTTCCACAAGTTTATCCTTTACATCGTTTAGGGATGCTCTGTTAACAACGTCTTGGTTGGCAAAGTTTGAATCGAGAATCTCCTTACAAATTGTTTCCTTTAGAGTATCTTCGGAGTCAGAATGTTCCGTCTTGTAAACTATTGCTTCTTCCGGGAGCCCATTCGGTTCTCTAAATGCTGTCTTGCAAACTGTGATATCTTCCGGATGCTCTTCGGTAACGAATTCCTGGCAGACTGTTGTTACTTTCGGAGGTTCGACCGAATTTCCAAATCTTGTTTCACACACACTCAAATGTTCCTCTTCCTTCTTACATGTTCGTGATTTTTCAAAACATTTCCCATCGTCAGGTGACGTCTCGCATACAGTTACACTTTTGACTAATTTTCTAGGTGTTTGACAAATGGATATTTTTTCTAGACTCTCTGCGACATTGCACACATTTTGAGAGAGCTCTTTCTTGTCTCTCTCAATGTTCTTGCAATAATCTTCATCCTCCTCCGCAATACAACTACACGTGGACCATCGTCGAGCTATTATCTCCCTTTGGCAACTTCCGAGAGATTGTTGCAAGCGTTTATATCCTGTCTGCCTCTTCCGTATATCATTGCGATTTATTGATGAATCCTGGAATATTTTATTTCGATATTTACAACCATCTGCGAAATACTCTCTAGGTTCCTCGCCGAACGCGCACTCCGTGTAGATCGATTTCGGTAACCACCTGCTACCATCGACCGCATGACACATGGTGCATTCGCTATCGTTTCCGCGAACATTATTATTACGATCGTTATTTTTGCGATAATTCCTTTGTTCCACATCAGTACAAATCGCTCTTGACACGAAGACATCATTGTCGTCTAGCTTGGCTTTTGGTTCTGAAGGATACGTGGTCATCCAAGACTCTGGATGTTTATTGTTACACGCGCTGAAACTCGAACACGGAACCGTTAAGTACGACGAGTCCTGTTGAAGATCTATGTTATCCATATCTTTACAGTAGTAATCGTCTTTGGTCGATGAGATAGCGCCCTTGCATCGGACGTATTCGTCTGTGCTGTAATGTTTCGTTATCGTCACTCTTCTCATGAATAAAATTAGGCAACCGCTGCACTAGCAATTTCTTCTGTTTCTCTTTTATCCTGTTTATGAGCTTACATGATGAAGCACTGCTAGCGCTAGCGCTTCTCGAATTGGATTCGGTAATTGTATTAGAGCTTGTATCTGTGTAAGGAGGTCTTAATTTTTTTCTTCCCTTTTCGAACACAACCAGTTATAATTAGATATTATATTTTAATAATCAGATAAATTAATAATTATTTCTAGTTTATAATATATCATTGAAATAATTATAGTACGATATTATATGGACATAATGACAAAATAATTAATTCCAGCATTAATATTTATTAGCTTTCACTTTTTTCATGGTACCATCATTATCCGTATTGGTTTATTAATGTAAATACTTAAATTATTTATAATTATACATAATGTATTCATAATGGTAAGCATAATATAAATGTGTCTTTAAACAAAATATTAATCCATTAATGTATTTTGAAATCTGAATTATACGTTTTATATTGGATAAAAAAGATTATTTGATAACTTACCTGGTTACTGTCATTAGTCTCCGAGCAAATATAGATATTGACATTCCCAGTCATTCTGCGATTATCGGTGTTCACATTATTCGCTGATTTCGAATACTTTTTACTCTTTCTTTCACCGTTAACTTTATTTTGTGCTAGTAATGGTATTGCGTTCTCATGCATTTTTTTGCACAAATATGAACTGTCATGCGTGGATAATTTATCACGCTGCCGTGAAACATGGCATGTAGTTTGTCGATTGGTGCAAACGTTGAGTGATTCCTTGCAACGTTCTTCTAATGCGCGAGATCGACTTGCATCGGATATTCCTTTAGGTTCCTTTGAACAGGGCAAGATCAACTGTTTCTCTTCCTGTTTCAAAGAAGTTTATTTACCAAAATTTTATCTCGTTATTTAATTATTTTCTATAAGGAGTAATAAATTACACAAAACTGAAAATATTTTTGACATCATTGTTTAATCTACTGGTGTTTAGTTTTATATTTTTACGAAAAATATGAAATATCTAGAGAAAAATTCTAAAGATATGTTGTGGATACTTGCATCTTATAGGTACCATTGAGCTTTTCACGAGAGTTTTCATAGCATCTTTAATAGAATTATTGATCCGTTTAAGGGAATCGTTTATTTCTTTGTTGATCATCTCACTGAGCCTTGTTGGACTCGTATCTTCATCGCGCGCGAGTACCTTCTTTTTCGCCAATATATCCATGCAAATATCTCGCTTGATCCTTTTCTCTCCGCACGTTTCCAAAGTGCACGCGCAATTCGCCTCCGGCATTCTGTTATCATTTTCCGCCTTATTTTCCGGCTCTTGTTCTTTCATGATATTCTCTCCCTTCTCTTCGTCCACGTTAAAGCTTCCAGAGTTTCTCTCCTTCCTACTTTCGGCTGATCGGCGAAGACCGACGTATTGATCCTCAACGGGGAAAACCGATGGTCTTTACGTCGCGGAAGAGGTAAGCTACATTTGCACTGTGCAAAAGTATCTTTTGTGCGGAAAATACCGTGCTCTATCTCTTGAGTCTTTAAATCCTCTGTCGGTTGAGAATCTACTGCTTTTCCTCTCGCTTCGATTTTTAACCCTAATCGTTTCTGCCCGTGTAAGCTTCTTACCCCCCATTATCGTTTCTCGTGACGCATGTTTCCTTCAGCTTTGTTACACAAATATATAACTCACTGTTCTTTTTATTTTTTTAAATTCTTAGAAATGCTTACATTCTTCGTCGTAAAACTACAATCGTTCATACTTGAAAATTTGAGTTACTTGGTTAAGTATCACGTCATATTGACATAGTAATGAAAGAAAATGTTGAAAGTTACTTTCGTACGTCTTTTATTTTTTTTTCTTATGACGATTACGAACATTATTTATCCTTGTTTAACATTTGGTATATAGCAGGGACGAAATAATTTCGAGCATTGCGAGCGTTAAGTGAAACGCACTTCTATGTATTGAATAACTTTTAATTCTGATTATTTATTGATAAATTATTGATATTATTGAATTGTTGATATTATTGAATTATTAATATGAATTTTTTATTATGTTCCGAAATCTCATAATTAATTATTCTATAAAAATATTATTCTTAATAACATGTATACATTGTTAAAAAATTAACAAATTTGAAGAGCACATCTATTGTTATCTCTCCAAACAAAATTTTTAAGTGTTAAAATCATTTATAAATCTGACAATAATCAAACATACAATTCAAAAATAACTACAGAATAAATACAGAAAAAGGAAGCTATTCATTTCTAAGGACTTCGATTTCCATTTTATCTTTCTTTTTTGTTTCGATGGTATGTATACACATGAAATCGACCAATACATTATTCACGTAGCTTGTTGATCGCATTTCCGATGGTCACGAGTTTCGGAATCCTTCGTGATTTACGAGCGTTCTCAATTTGCCTGTGAAAAATATACGATCGTCTTCGAAGGTTCCGCGTTAGTAAATGGATTTTCAAACAGTACAACTTTGACTCATACTCATTGAGCTTATTAATTAATCATTTAGTCGTAATAGCATTTAACACCAACGATAAGAAATCTGTTGTTTGCTTTTGATTCTGGTAGTCATTGTACTTGTTTTCAAACTTCAGTGCAGTTCATGTTATCCAGTTATGCACATAAAGTGAATAATTGCATTCGTATACAATACGTGAATGCGAATAACGCGATTTTTTAATATTATTATCAACTTTATTAAATATTTGATATGTTGCTCCATAACGCTACTTGATAAACACTTGATATCAGAGAAGTGATTATTATTTTTTTAATTTGATATCATTCCAAAATAAATTAAGCTTATAAATTCTGCTAAACTTATCAATATCTAAAATTTAATTAGACTTTTAATTATTTACATATTTTAGAAAATTTCACAGATAAAGCCATCTTAACATTTAAATAATATTTATCACTAACACACTAATTACAAAACTTCTTTCTTATAGCGCTAAAACATATTTATGAGATATCAACATTATTATCTGTGGTTTCGTCAGCCGAAGTTGAAACATCAAATCGACGATGTTCGCAGTAACTGCAAACCGATGAGATCTCGCTAAACGATTCACTTTGAAATTTTTGAGTTGCGTCATATATTGTAGTATACTCTTCTTCTCTTTCGCGTTTATCACACTTTGGCTGCATACGAACATTAATTATAACACTAATTATATTTTATTGAAACATAAAGCATTTATATGCATTAAATTCCGGAACAGCATAAATTAATTTTAAATTGTTTTAGCTTCCATACTGAAAGCCAACATGCAACTGAATTTTCCGTGGTTAACTGCAATTTACGCATAAATTCACTTTTACCATCCTAATCCCGGTTAAATTTCTCGTGAATAAAGTTTCATTTACCTTAAACTTGTTTACTTTCTTAAACTTCGACGTCGTCGTAATTTCATGATCATTTTTCGGAGGAAATAATTGTTTCAGATCTTTACATTTGTCTGCGCGCTGAGATAAAGATATTAGAGGCTTGTCAGTTTTCATCACTTTCTTCCGAAACTCTCGCACCACGTCTTTGAAAGTTTGCGTTTCTTGATATGGAAGGGTATTCCCCTCGGTCAGTCTTGTGGAGACCTTGGAATGTATTCATATCGAAACTAAGAGATATTCTATATCTTTAACCTTTCATTCTTAAGCTACCATGTTGCTACGTAATCACATTGAGAATACTTTTCATTTCCAACAATCACATAGCAACAAAGTATATTAAGATTCAATCAGGGAAATTAATCAAGCTGAATTAGCATGTTACTAGATGCGACAGAGTTCAAGAATTCTTAGATAATTTTTAGATAATAGGTAATAAGAGCTAAAATAAATTTTGTTACCGAAGTTAGTCTGCTAACGCTTTCATCGCACATTACAGAAGTACCGTATGCCCACTCCTTCGATTTTGTACTCGAGAGAGAATCCTTCGTATTTCGAAGAGCGCTCAAAGCCGTCCATCTTCTAGCTTCTCGTTCTTGAATTAATCTCATTCTATCGTGTTCTTTCAGCTCTTCTATTAAACCTGGCGTTTGATACGCAGGTAGATATTTCTTCAACATAGGTACTTCTAATCTGGTTTTACGTACATTAACATCGTACTTCTTTTTTACATGCTGTGATTTCTTTTCTGATAAACTGTAATTTAAAAAACTGATTTAATTTTTTTACTCTAAACTTTATTAATATTTTAATAAATATTTTATCCAGTTAAATAAATATATATATATATATATGTATGTGTATATGTATCATCAGACTTTATTTTAAAAATCTTGCTTTATTTGTAATATTTTATTTTTGTGAGTTATATATAAATACAAGTAGCGGATGAAATTTGAATTATTTAAATATTTCTATATACAGGATGGGATTATTACTATCTTAGATATATCTTTACAGATCTATGAGATCCAGAAGAAAGAACTGTGTAATCAAATTGCATGATATAAAGAGAGCTATCATATTGCAATAAATCAATCAATCGTGCAAAATGTATCCATTTCAAGAACAAATTGATAAGATTCTCATTTATGGAGAATGTAACAAAATTTAATGCGAATAAAAAAAATTATATCGCTGAATGCTATTCTGATCGTACTCGACGTTCGCATTGAACATTTAAAAATGTATGCAATAAACTTAAACAAAATGGTAGCTTAAATAAAAGTAAAAGTGAACATGAAAAGCGAATAACTTATGAAGGGAATGAAATTGGGATTCTTGTGCAAAGTGGCTCGAAATTCTCACATTAGTTTGCGACAAACTGAACCAGAAACTGTTATTAGTCTAAGGAATGTATTCTACATTTTGGACCGTTACAAATTACACCTTTATACTATCTCGACCTTCACGAAGCATTATATGAAATGAATTTTGTGAATTGTATTGAATTTTGTTAAGGGGCTCAATATCAAATTCGGAACAATTATTCATTTTTCATATCGTGTTACTGATAAGACAATAGGTATTTACTAATCACAGGAATGTTAATTTGCATTTCTGGACAATATATTCTTATTAGTTACAGCAGATCAAATATCAGAAGCACTCTAAATATATATGGTGCAATATCGGCTTATATATATATAGATAAGTCTTATATATTTTAAAATTATTTTAAGTACAGACTCAAGATATGTTATGAATCGATCATAAAACCGTGTTGGTAACATCTTAAAACATTACTTAAGACAGTCTTGAAATAAGAACTATGAATATCATAGCTAACAAAATTATTAATCCTTATTTTATCGACGGACATCTAAATGGAAACAAGTACATCACTTTTCTTAGATATATATTCGGTCTTTTATTAGAAAACTTGTCTTTAATCACAGGACGAACAATGTACCGCACGATGAATATTCGACTCATTTTTCATTGATTACAAGAAATAAATTTAATGAAAAATTTAATCAATTTAATTCCAGCAAATCGCTGGAATAGACATGAGAACCGTATAGACCAGCTCATTCACCAGATACCACTGAACTTTTTATGGGACAATAAAAGATATAATTTATAAAGAAGAACCAACTATCTCAAAAGATGCAACAACGAATCATTGCAGCCTATGCGTTGATAACTTTTGAAATTATTAAAAACTAATCAGTGATTATTAAAGACTAAACAGTAAAAAAATCCAATGTTGTATTGATAGTAATAGTCATCATCTTTTATAAATATTACAAACGTCATTTAATATGCTAATTAATAATAAAATAACAAATAAAATGTTACATAATATACAATATATATATATAGAAAAACGCAAGTTTATGATAAACTTTTTATCGTTTTTAATTTTCAATCTTGTCTGATAATCTTGGGTTATAAGTTCTGACTTGTTTTGAACGTCCCTATCATGTTATGGAAAAAAAAATTTTCGAATTTATTTAAAAAATTAAGATGACCTTCAAAGCACCTTCACCTCGACAAATTATTATCGCCATATGATAGCCTCCTGCAATTTTGGTTACGCAAATCTTTTTCTGCATTTTATAAATTTGAAGATATTTAAGATTGTAATAATTATTGCCTCACTCTGTATATTTTCTATAATATTCCTATTTAATATATTTCTATTTTCTCTAAAATAGGATAAAATTTCTATATAAACATACTCATTATTATATGAACTCAAAAGTTTCCGTTGATAATCTTGACAGCAAGCTATTTGTTTAGATGCTGTAAATTGTGGTTGAACATGACAAGACCAGACTTTTGGCTTGTTTGCAGACTTCAGATCGCAGGCATCATCTTTCCTGCTTTGAGTATCTTCCCTGTCGCGAAGATTACACTGAGTTTGACGATCTTCTCTTAATTCAGCTAATGATCTTAACGGAGGAACGATTCTTCTCCGTCTTCGAATACTATCAGCACAGCATTCTGTGCGACTTACACAAAGAAAGTCTTCCGCGTGTCGTGTACTATCAAATCATTGATCTTAGAAACTTAAATGTAAAATACAACATGAGAATGTTACCTGGGATGTCCATGAATTTGCATATCGCGGCTGTAAATCATTCCTTGCTTTCTTCTATCATAAAGCTTTTCTTTAATCAATGTTGGCTTATTGCAATATTTTTGTTTTTTCCGTGGTGAACTACTATCAGGTTCTCTATATATAACATGAAATTGTATTCTTATAATAGATTAAGTAAATTAAATAATTAAATACGTTAAGTAATTTAAAAAAATTTTTTCTTTCATTACATTTTCTCTTTTCGTTACCTCTGTTTACGTTTATATTTATCGATCCATTTTTCATGTCTTCTGTTTTCTTTTTTCTTTTTCTTTTCTAAGTCAGCTGCTCTGGAAAATTGCGTGTCGATATGCAACATCTTATCACACTTTTTGTATTTTTCAGATTTTCGCAGATCCGTTTGAATACTTTTTTCGAGTGCAGATTTTTTAGTTTCATGCGCGGAAACCTGAACACTTTTTTGTTCCATTTCAATATCTTCTTCAAATTCCGCCGACTTTCTATCGTCAATACGTATTTCTGCCGTTCCCGATTGCTTCGTTAATTTTTCCATGGCAGGTTTTTCGCGTCTTTTTACTTGGCACGTGACGCTGTACAACTCCGAACTAGCCAACGGATCGTACAATCGAGCTTTTTCATTTACTTCCGAAGGTGATGCTATTACTTCTTTTCTGGCTTTTTTTTCGCTAGATAATTCTTCAGTTTGTTTCTTTTTGACAAAGTATTTTCTCACACCTATTTCTTCTGCAAAATTATTTAATTCCGCAATTGTTTTGCTATTTTTCGCTAACGATCCCCTTCGATTATTTTCGATTAGAGCTTTACCTCTTTGTTGTTCTATTTCACTATCTATCGATGTTTCTTCCGTAGTGACAATTTCTTCTGCTTTCTTTTCTGAAAATCAGACAAATATGCTTGATTGATTATGCTTCTTTTTTTTGTGTATTTTAAAATAGAAGATACTTTGATCTAATCTTTCCCAATCAGTAGTCAAGAATTTCGTTTCCGACATTGCGTCTGTTTTAGACATTTCATTAGTTTGTTCTGTAACACTCACATCCGATTGACTTATGCTATCTTTGACATCGCAAGATGTTTGTGACATGCACGAACAAGGAATCTAAATAAATCCATTTTTTATTAATACAAATAAATATAACATTATAAGAATTGAGAAATATTAAATAAATGTGTAAATAAATTACTGCTTATTTTCATCAGATAATAGTTTTAATTTTGTTAAAATATAATATTTTTTTAATACTCAACGCTAACCAGAGAATTAAAATTTTACAGAAGTAAGTAGAAAATGATAAGTATACTTGAGTGTAATCATCACTAGTGACGTTTGATTTGTCTATTTTTTGATTGTCGAATATTCTGGTATTTGATAAAATATTAACACGTTCCGTCGGAAGAACACATCCTCGTTTCGATTGCGAATCTTTAATCTCGTTCACTTCGAAATACGCCGTATCCTTCGAAATTGGCTGAAGATATCTATAACATGGATTACATTGTGCACATTAGCGTTATAAAAATATCTATATATCGCTTGTTTACTACATGACAATTAAAAACAAGCAAAGTTTTTTTCAGAAAATAAATATTTTGAATTATTAAAATTTTGTAATATTAACTTTAAAGTACAATTTTAATATAATAACTGATTACAAAGGAATAAAAGTATGTTCTTTTAAAGTAATCTTCTTTCTTTTCAGCTCTTTTTTGCAAGCAACTAAAAAATGACAATTTTTTAATTGTAATAAATGATGAAGCGATATTATAGATTTCATATTTATTGTTTAGTGACATTTAATTTAAGCTATATAGTTTTGCTATACCTTGGTAACTTTTTCATCGTAAATTTCTTCTCGTGAGGGTGTCTCAGTCTTACATCGTCAGCTCTCACGTGAGAATCTGGTTGGCGACAGATCGTTCCGCGTCGTGCACGATGCGAATCATAATTTCTGCTGTAAATGTTATCCTCGGAATCGTCATGATCTGAAATGATTTGCAAACAATTTACTTGCCGATCGTGCGTCTTTAAGAGCGCGTGCTGTTCGTTCTCTTCATCGGTGGAAGACGAGGAAACGGAGGAAGAGCTCTTATGCTTCGCATCTTTTTTCGTAGTACGAATTCGTCGATACGTTTGTACAGGCGAGGTAGATTGATTTCCAGAAAGCATCCGTACTATTCTATCTAGGAGAGACGGTTTTCTCATTCGCCATTTGCCGTCGCTATCGGTCGTCTAAAAGGAAACGAAAATTCACTGTAAATGATCGATGCAGAAATTACTGATTAAAAATGAAATGAAAAAAAGATGCTAGCGAGATATCGATGTTATTTTACCGTTCTTTTGCCGAGCCAAGAAATTTTTGTGAGTGCAGCAAGGATTCTTCCTACGCGACTACTTCGTTTTCTTGCTTTGGCAGTACCGTCTTTTAAGAGTAATTCCTTTGAGCTGTCGTCTATCTCAATGTGAATTACCTCTTCTTCATCTAGCTCTTGTGTAGCGCAAGACTCGGTGTCCGCTATTGACGTAGACGAGCTGGAATCGTTCTTGCGCGGGGAAGAGCAGGATTTCCTTTTCAATCTGGTACGAAGCCTCCTACGAGCTCTCACCACGAAACAGGACGTTGGATCCTCGCTGCTCGAAGTAACTTCCTTCGCCAATGGCTCGTTAAAAATCTAAATCAAACATTTTTTCTACTGAGCAGTTCTTGATTATTGGCATCTATTATTGAAGCCAATTTGCTTTTTTATTAGCATAAAAAATTAAGCTTTTTTAAGTTTTTAAAAAAACTGATAATTTATTTACCTACAAATCATGATATCAAGTATTAGATTATAATTCGAAAAGTTTATTTGTTTGTTAAAGTTAATTTCGCAAAAAATTGTTTATATATACATATATATAAATTTTTAATAAAATTTGTTTGTTTATAATGCCTCACTTGAATCGTAACGTCTTCTCTTATTTTCTGCGCTTCGATGTCTTTGAATGGCATTTTCTGATGCTCGACTTCGATCTCTCGCGATCCTTCTTGATAAGCTGACACATGTAATTATTATTTTAACTAACTCGAATTTATTTTTTTTTTATGGATGATTTGTGAAATAAATTGCGTGCATTTGAAGGCATATATTGTAGTAAAAGTATATGCGAAACATAAAAGTGATGTACATACTATAACTATAGACCGACTCAGAACTACTTTCACTGCTATCATCGTCCGTTTGGACTGCTACATTTTTCTTTTCAACAACTATTCTTTCCTCTTTCATTTCTTCAGATATTCTTTTTTCCGGTATTTTTTCCTCTGGCACTTTTTCTTCCGGTATTATTTCTTCTGGTACCCTTTTTTCCGGTATTTCTTCTTCTATTTCTTCTTTTATTTCTACTTCTTTTGGTTTTTCTTCTTTTATTTCTTCTTCTTTTGGTTCTTCTTCTTTTGGTTTTTCTTCTTCAATTAGTTCTTCTTTTTCATCGACATAAGTACTTATTGGCATAGGTTCCTTTCTTGCAATCAATTGCTCATCCGATGAATCTCTAACTCGATTAAAAACGAGATAATAAATCAATATTACATAGTTTTAATAATATATTTTGAACTCGTAAAGATGTAAATATTCCTTTAAATTGTAATTAAATTGACGTATAATTCTTGTAAAGAATAATTATTTAGAAAAGCAATAAATTATTTTTCTAATATTTATAAATATAAATATTTTTTTTTTAAAACGTGATACATTGCTTGTAATATGTTGCATAATACTTTTATTCTCGTATTTCCTAAACTTTCTTGCAACATTTATTATTAGAACTTACCGCTCCTCGCTAATATCCGACAAATCGCCGTACTCGATAGGCGATCGGCAAATCGTGCAGAGATTCTGCAAGTCTGCGAAGCATTGGATGCAGAATAAACCGAGGCAGCCTGGCGTGGCACATTTAATGTGCGGTTCCCGATCGGAACGTTCCACGGAACCGCACAGGAGACACACGTTCTGCTTTTGAGGGAACAATTTGTTCAGGAAAGGGCAAATAGCCAGACATCGTTCTCTGAACGTGACTCTCTCGATTCTCTCGCCCTCGCTCATGCCGAACTTGCGGCGCAACTGGCGTCGTGCAAATTTCAGAAAGCTTCCTCTCGATCTGTGCACGAATTGAACTCATTAACTAAACGCAGTTTGCAGTTTATATCGATTAAAGTAAGAAAAAAACTGAATGAAAAATTGCACGATGGAAGAAACATCGTTATTTTCATATAATTTAATATTAAGAGAGTTTTTTTAATATTTTTTATTTTAATCCTGTCAGATTTTAATACTCAATTAAAAGTGACGAAGCGTACAACGTACTTTTAATGTAATAGACCAACATCAACCTTTAATAATATTTTATGCAACGACCAACATAAAACTTTAAAAGTACTTTGTTAAAAGTACTTTGATATCAATGAGCCGGTCGATTACTTCATTAGCTAATTGAAAATACATTACCTAATTATATGATTATACAACCAAGCAGCTCTTTGCTTTGCTCTTTCCGGGTGATATTTGCACATCACGACATGCCGCAATCGTAATCCGTACGGTTCAAATATCGCCATAATCCAGCAGAAGGCGATCAACGTCACAATCTGCGTATACCGATCTAAATTTGGAGGGATGGGATCTGGGAGGCAGGGTATCGTATCGATCTCTATATCCTTCGCGTGTGGCGTGAAGGCTTTCACGATGCTTCGATAAAGGTCGGCGAGATAGCCGTCACCAGACACATGGACGCTCACGAAATTGGGTCGTTGGACCTAGATCGATATATACGTTCCGCCATTATATTACCTTCCATCGTGATTATTCTACGCCGCGGTATATATCCGACCGCCGATTGTCGATATTCACCGCCGCACTCCACGCAAATCTCGATAACAAAATTGCGGTTGTAAGCTAACAGAACATTCAATTAACTCAGTCAGCGAAATGTACGTCAATTGTAATTTAATTCTTCAGAAATTCTAATTGCCGATCATAAATTTTAAAATAAATTGATCAGCAATAGAATAAATTGATGATGCTTGAACTGGAAATTATAAGATACATACAAAAATAAATTATATACTAAGATCCATTTTAATCGAATATGACTTTCTTCACTTATTTATATTAAACATTTCTCAATCAATTTTCACTCACTATTATTAAAAGCTATTTTTAAATTAATTTAAAAGTAGCTTTTTATCGTTACATTTATCGTAAAAGATAATAATTAAATATTAAAGGATCTAAAAAAATTCTTGAAGCATAAATACATTTTTATTTATTAATCAATATTAGTCTCATTAAAATACCTTTGTTTCAATCCGTCCGTGATACCTGATAGTGCTAAGAATCCAATAAAGACTGTAATCCGCCATCATATGAATGCAGATTTTAAACGTCGTTAAGCCCAAAAAAACTACAGATTTCGCGAGCTTTATTTTTTCTACTTTGATCAGAGTGACGGACGTCAATGGGATGTATCGATTTCTTTCGCGGCGGTTTAACGGCAAAATGGTTTCCTTATCCTGACGTGTTCTTATTAGATCGATAGTGCGCAGATCATCAGTTAAGTAGCGATTATCGAAACGATCGCTCGTCAGCCATTTATGCCGATAACGCAAAATCCTTTAGAAAATATTTCAATATACAAAATTATTTTGGTTGCAAATTATTAAAATGACACCTTAAAATTTACCTTAGCAGCATGAAGAAAATAAAGAAAGTGGTCCCGAAACTCATCCAATCAAATACAGCTAAAAATCTATCGGTCCTCTCTCGTATCTCTGTAATTATACCAGTTGATACGTCTTCGATGGTTTTAGTTTGGTTCGTCTCAAAATGGAAAGAATGCGAAAATTTCACTTTAACGTAGAACATCGCTTTTATGTGGCGAGTGAATCTTTTGATCTCTATGTAAGCAAAAGATATTAAATCAGAAAGAAGTACATAAAAGCTTAGCAATATTATGCTGATGGAAAAATTTTTAAATTCATAAATCGCCGTACTCTCATTTATCGACTTTAATGCAAATTTTATTTTTAATATAAAGAGTTCTCTTACTTTTTCTTTTTATTTAAAAAGTTATAAAATGTTTTATGCTTATGATTAAATGTTTCATGAATATTTAAAATTGTAAATAGATTGTATTCCGATAAATTTAAAAATCGTTGATATTTACATGAGTCTGGAAATTTAAAAAAATTTATTCTAGTAATAAAGCTTCCTTTATAAAGTATTTTATGAAGTCTTTTCTCTTAAAAATCTTTTATACGTTTATAACGTCAACATACTTTCCTGTACAGCGTTAACTATAGTATCGGCGACATAAGATACGAGTATGCAGATGAAGTCTAGAGGTTTCACTGCGTAGCACAAAGCACCGACGACGTACGTCAGATTGCAAACCCCTCCGAAAAGGGGACCGAGTTTCGCCTTGCAGTCATCTACCGCACCTTCAAAGACTCTCTGACACCTGTCGAACGGCGTACCCAGCTTCTTGTTGCAAATATTCACAACGTTGCCCAGCCATTGGAAAACCGACGTGATCACTCTTACTGAAAGATACATTTTTAAAGTTACGAAGATCGATTATACGTAAAGCCAATGGAAAAACGTTGACTCACGTATACTTAGTACGAGTCGTTTGATAGCCACGAGAGTTTGCTTAATTTTCTTCATGACCATCTTTACCATCTTTATTACTTTCGATATCGCGTCTCTCAAAGCGTAGAAGGGTTCTTTTACTAAATCAACTACATTCTTCACGGCTTGCTTTAATTGTTCCTATATGTATATTTTTATAAATTATATTAATAATAACAATTTCAAATAATGATGACGAATCAAAAGACATAATCAATTTTATGAATTCGAGAATGCAACGGAAAGATTGCGGAATTGATGATATGTTTAAGCCATTGTCGGTCAAACAAAAGATCTAACGAAGGATAGAACCAAGGATGTGTGTTTCAAGGATCTAACATTGTGTAAAGATATAAAGACATAAATAGAATATGTAAGAGAACTCACCTGTGAGAGCTTACCTGTCCACAGGCTAAAGATTCCGAAAGGACACTAATATTATGCAAGACATTCTTTGCCGGTCCGGTAAGTGTTAGAATAAAGGCATAGGCTATCAAGGCCTGTCTACCACGTTTAGAAAAGAATTGCGGTAGCAACAGAAACACGATACACCTGTGCAAATGTTCATATAAAGTCATAAAAGAATATAAAAAGAAGATAAAACTATAGGGTATAATAAAAGTAAAAAATTCCAAGATAGAATTTTGATACTTTTAATTAATTATAATTTTAATAATTTACGTATTCCATGGATCATAATTCTTGTATTTATATCATTGAAATTCATGTAAGGCGAAATTACCTTACACGATGAGAAAACGCCAAACCGAGTGTGAGAATCATTCCGAGGATCGAGCACAATATCGTTGCAGACGAGAGAGTAAAACTTAGTTGAATCACGAAGAACACGAAAAACATATATGTAAGAAATATACCAAACAAGAACCCAAAAATACTCTTCAGAGTATAATTTTCAAGCGAACCATCTATACGAAGAAGTCTCACTTTTTTATAAATCCATAGATGCTTTAATGGAGAAATTATTCGATTCCAAAAATGCTTAAACTTCTTTCTGTATCTATAAAAGTGCGATTGCGTGTAATAGCTTGATTACAAAAAAAAAATAATAGTACACTAAAATAAAATATTTATGGTGCATTAAATAAAAAATATCATCAAAATTGAGAGAGAGAGAGAGAGAGAGAGAGAGAGAAGCACTCATTAAAAATGTACTCATTAAAGATATACGTATAATATAATATATAAATGATGAAGTAGAATTTTACGCGTAAAATTGATATCGATCGATAAATTAAAAGAGTTAAAAGGAGTTAAATGGCAGGTTCACTTTAATCTCTTTCGTCGGAGACGCTGCTTCAAAGTCAGATGCGGCTTGACACCCTCGAAGATCTCAATCGATCTCAATTTCTCATCTTCGTACCTCAATCTAGCTTTCTCTAGCTTCCTCGCTTGGAGAACTAATTGAAAAAATGCCATGCTCTTAGTCACGTACTTTATCTAATCTTTTATTACTGAACATTTACGCGTAAACGTTATAAATTATATAATTATCCTAATTAATAAATATCTTATTATAATATGTTAAATATCTATGCTAAATGTCACTAAATGTCAGGTTCCAGCATAAACTGAAGTTTCTAGCAACTTGCATACGTTCATTCTGATTCTTCGTTGTTTATGTTTTATCCATAAATAAGCTACTTTTTATGTGCATTTTTACTGTTATTTATTTAGAATTTATTACTTTTTTAATGTAATTTAATTTTTTTTTTCAATAACTCCTATTTTATAATATATAATAAAATTATAATATATTATAATATATAATATATAATATATAATTTAATATATTTACTATTATGACTATTAATAATTATTAAACTGATATCTTTTTAATTTTATTTTGCCTTCAAATAAAAAATTGGATCAATTCTCTCAAATTTTTATTTCAGTTTTGTGAGAGAATAGACATTTTATGTATGAATAAGATTTTGACTAAAGGTAAATAGTTATGCATAACTATTAACATAGACTGATATATTGGAACTTCAAATTCCGTTACCAGCAAATGATCACAGAGGTACACGTCGGCAGATGAACAAGCAATGATAAAAGCCACGAGTTACCAGTACTGGTTTATCAAGAATTTTAATCCGAGCAATGATACGTAATGCAGTTTCCGTTTGATTACAAATATTATTATTTTTTTATCGTATACAAGTATGTATACATTAAAACTGATAACTATTGCAGAACCTTTAAAAATATTAAAGCTTGAATTACAATTGTAAAATAAAAACTAAAGTAAATTTATGCTCATACTTATCACAGAGTCTTCTGCTTTTTAAAATCTTATCGAGAATATCGTTTGAAAGAATTTAATATTTTTCTCAATACATTTGCGATATATTTAGACATTTTACTTTTTTAATTTCTTGATGATAACTTTCTGGATGATGTTTCTTTCTGGACCAAGACTGATAGCTATCCATCGAGTTGCGTTCTCCTTGTTTACCTGGAACGTTCTCCAAGAGTCCGCTCTACATCGAACGTCGCCAGTGTTGGTCTTCGATTCTTCAAGGAGGATCGCACGATGCCGCCAATGAGCGTTAGAGCGAGACATCAATGATACCGCGATGCGGGCTGGCGAAGGTGGGCGTCGAGGTCGTCGGAGAGGGGCGCGCAATCTAAACCCGATAACGAGCCAGCTGGCAGCGGCAGTGCCGTCGTTTACGTGGAGGTACGATCTTCGCGAGAGAGGTTGCTCTCGCTGGTGGTGCCGGATCGCTCCTTCAAAAGGTTGCAGCCTGTCCTGAGAAATAAATCGCGGCGCGAACTGGTACCACTCACGGAAGTGCCCGTTTATCTCGAGGAACACGTCGAAAAGTGGTGGAACGACAGGGACCAAGAAAGAAAAAAAAAGGAAAAACAAACATGCCGTGAATTTTGTCAGGTGACATCGCGTACGACGAAGTCGACGGTGTTCATAGCGCGTGCGGCTTTCGATCGCATGCGTCCAACGCTGTAGACACTTGGTCGTCATCGTCGTCGTCGTCGTCGTCGTCGTTTTTGCCGCGCGTGTGGATGTGAACGGTAGTGTAGTGGTACGCGCGTGTGATCGTGTTGTACCTGACCTGTGGTATACCTCCTGACCCAGCTTCTACCTGATCCAGGTGCCCGACATCTGGACCGATCGCGATGACTACGAGGGAGCTCTATGTTAAGGTATCGCGGAATTAGTTCGGGGATTATATTTGATATCAGGTGTGCATCCCTGAGGAAGATGGCAGGTCTCCTCTGACGTAAATAAAATTGCGCGCCGACGTTTCAGTCCTTCGAGGGGGATTAACGCTGCGCTTCAAGGGGATGTTTCAATTCAGCACGATGCGTGATCAGAGATTTTCAGATAGTTCTCCATAACTAGAGGCGCGAATGATGGAAGATGATTAGGGATGTTGCTCCATTTTCTTGATCCTGAAGTTGCGGAGGAATTTTGAAGATAAATATAAATAAAAAGGTGTCTTTGTCTTCGAGTGCATTAAAAGAGAGGATTGAATTCAATAAACAATATTTATGGTAATAACTTATAAATCCTTTGAAACTTAATTATTGTTTAAAATTACACATTGTCATTGTATACATATATATAAAAGTATTGGATTAAAAATTAAAGATAACGGAAGAAAGTGAAATATGTGAGTTAGATGTTTTGTGTTAATATATAATTTACTTTAACTTAACGTTATGTAATATGATAGCCAACGTTTTGATCTTTTAACAACCTGTTATTTTCAATGATAAAAAAATTTAAATGACACTGTTAATTTCACCAGAATTAAAAAAAAATTTAAATGCATCTATTTATTGCTTTTAAATTCTGATGAAATTAATATATTGGCGGCGTTTTAATATATTAGCATTGTAGATAACTCGTTGTTGAAAGGTCAGAACGTTTGTTTTTACACTATGTAACATTTACACCGTGTCCTTAATTCGCGACCTGTACAATAGATGTCCTTATTTATCCTGTAGATTAAACAAAGATACACCTATTGTATAGATAGTAAACGTAGCCATTGATATTAAGTTGAGATAATATATTAATAGAACAAAACAAAAAATCTAGCTCGACCAGTTTACGTCCGCTTTTTCATTATTTTTGAATACTTATTCATACGAGACTTGTATATATTTTTTAAATTAAATTTTATCTGGATTATTACAGTCGTATATAATATCTCGAAGTCTCGCTTGACGTGATTTATCTTTATATCAACCAGGAAACTCCTGGAGTTGAAAATGTCTCGGTTATACAATCAGTGGAAACTGCGGGAACGATGTCTGCCACTGTGAGTTTATGGTTGTGCGTGCGAAATTGTGATCTGACTCCGTTTCTACGCCTTTTGTTAAACATTAACAACGCGCAACACTTTGGCATTTGAAATAAATATATCTTTCTCGCCGTTTCACCGTGTATAATTCGCAATCCAGGAAAGATCCATAATGATTATTTTTTGTAAATATCTAGAGAAGCTATACTTAAGTATTCCCAGTCTTTCAAGATGCCAGTCCTCTATTACGCAACTATAAAATCAAATAAGAATTAATTATAATTATTATTATGTCTATGTTGCTACATTCCCATAAATATATACGTATATCATGAATATGGGTCATCCATTTACATAATATGCATGTCACAGTTTCTATGATACGAGAGACTTAAACTGAAGAGAAAATATTTCTCACTGTTATTCCTTTTACTCTTATTTGAATATAACAGATGTCTCCATTGTATTTAATTATGCAGACTATTATTCTTGTTTCCAAGGGACGTTTTTTTCCTTCTTTTTTCAATATCTTGATAAGAAGCACAATCGTGTCTCTGAAAAGTTTGAAAATAATCTTAATGACTTAACTGTTTTCAAAGATTTTGTTCGATACAAAGTAAACAAATTCTTAAATCTCGCTGAACGTACCTTTAAACTCAGGCTTTGTATAATGTCGTGTACGAGAATCAATAACACTATAACTTGGCATCCTATCTAAAGCATTCTCTTTGTCAAGATTGACGAGTTCTGTATGTCCGATTGTATACTTACTTCTTCATGCACTTAATATCTTTTCCCAAAACTGATACTAACAATAATTTATGTCTGTTACAACTTTTAATGATCTATTTATAATTAATATATTGTTGCTTTTTACGTAAATGCACGTCTTTTATTTCCCATTTTTTTAAAACAAAGGTATTGATAAGAATTCTCGGTTTACAAACGTTTGCTACATTTTTATTAACATGTACTGACTGATCGAGCTGCAGAACGCTGACTTGAGCGATAAAAAATTGTTAAATATTTTACTGTTTGTACATGCATTAATAAATACGGAAAAATGAAATGTTTCTCAAGCCGTCGAGATTTCTTTCCGAAAGTAAAATCAATAACTGCTAGCGAGAGAACCTCCATTATGAGAGACCTAAATTCTGGTCTAAATCAGGTGGCATGATTATAAAAATAACAGCTTGTATTTAATTTATCGCGCGATAATATTTCGTTAATTGAATATTTCGTTAACAACGATTGTGATTACATGAAATGCTTTTGAAAAAGAGACTTGCAATATAAAATTAATAATAATTATAATTATTTTGAGAGATTTAGAATCAACTAACAAATTATTACTATGTGAAAAATATAAATTAAACAATGAATTAAAGCGATTATGTGAAACAATCAATTCTTTCCGAAAGTATTATTACACCACTTTTTGTAATTCAGCTGTCATTAACAAATCGTTAAACAGCCGCATTTCTTACAATAATTTCTTACATAATAATAATGAATTATGTTAACCAAAGCTGAAATCTCAGAATGTCCCTAACATGTCACGACTATGTGATAATTACAATTGTACCTTTCAAGATAATTAATTGTTCTTTGGTGATTCTCTTTAATTATTTGCTAAATGACGGAAGTGAGGACGAATATTTATACGTATAATTAGTAATGACGAAATAAAATAAGACAGCCGCTAATTTAAAATTATACGTTTAGAAGTTTATTACAGTGACTGGCTCTCTTTCTCCACAGTTTCTCATTTTTTCCTTTTTCTTTGAATCAGCTGCTCACTCTCTAATAATCAAGTCCTGATTGGTCTTTCTCGAACAATTAAATTTCTAAATATTGTCGAAAAAAGAGAAATATTTTTATCGATCGCGCATTTGAAGGATCGTATCCTACAATAAAGGTGAAGGTCTCGACGCTAATTCGATCTCGTGTTTGTCTCGTGTATGTCTTGCCTGAAGTCAAAATAAGAGTCTAAGTCTTAGTCTATGTATGTGTTTCGCAGTGAAGACTGATTTCGTGAATGTAAATTATATATAAACGAGGCTATCAATGCGGGTTAAACTGTGACAATGCAATCGCTATAGTACCTTTCAACAATAGTTAATCGTCGTCATCCGATTCGTTCCG